GGGAACCCCAGGCTAGCGGGGGTGCTCCAGGGAAGGGGTCGGCCGGACGGGAGGCACCCTAAGGGAGGCACTCGGAGCCTGGACGGTGGTCAGCGCAGGGAGGTGGGCGGCTCCATGCAGGAGCGCCCCCTACTGGCCCGCCACAGTCCTGTCCTTCAGATGCCGGGCTGGGACTCGGAAAAGCTGGGGCTGTCTGAGCCTCGAGGTGCCAAACCAGGCACGTCAAGTATCCGGTTGGCCCTGGCTGTCCGTTGCCCAAATGTCTTGCCCCTGCTTGACCTGCGGAAGGGCATGTTGTGCTTGAACGCTTGTCTAGCATCTCCCCACTGTGCAGTTGGTGCAAGAAAAGGGATCACCCCAAATCTTGCTTCTTGCATCCTGCCTGGGCCATTGCATCCCCCGCGGGACACCCCTATGATAGATGCAACCCCGCGAGCTCCGCAGCAAGAGGCTGCCCCTGCACAGGGAGGGAGTCACTTGATTTGGGGCCTGTGGATGCCCGGAAATCATGAGAGCGCTCCTTGCGTGGCCGCTGGTGCTGCGGAGATCAGGGTTTTGACTGCGCTAACAGCTAAGGGTGGTTTTCCTCGTCTAATGCAACAAACCGCGGTGTCGTGCGCAGGTGCCGTTGTCTCCCTTTGGGAGCATCCACCTGCACGAGCTGGTGTCCCCGTGTAAGCGTACGTCTGGCCCTCGAGCAGCCCTTCATCGCTTTTACCAGCAGCGGGGGATTTGGGGACGCCCCGTCAGCCACGCGTGAACGGTCTGTGCTGCCAAACCGGCCGATGCGCCCTCCCTATCTCGCCGCCCGCCGGTTGTGAACACACGCGCACCCCAAGGGCGTGTGCAGTCGAAGAAAAGCTGGGGACAGAAAGCATCTGGCTCTGCCATGAGCTGGTGAAAGACTCCTCTCACGCCGGGGGGAAATCTCTCCTTTCAAATATAAACGCTGCTTGTTCTGATGCTGGATGCTCTGCTCTCAGAGCTGCCGAGGAAGGACCTCGGTGTGAAGTTTTGGCTTTTCTATCTACTTTGCATCAGACTTTGCAGGACTGTTTCCCCCCCACCCCCCGCTATTTCCAGACTCTCCTTCTTCCCACCCAGCCCGGGTATCGGGTCCGCCTGGACCAGGCAGATCTCCAAGAACCGCGGGAGCCACGCACTCAGGCCTTGTCCCTCATTTCCTCTCTAGCACCAGCCCATTTTCTCCATTTTTATTAAAAGGGAGAAGCTGTGACAATTATTTTCATAATTAGCTGGCTCTCCAAATTAATGCCAATTACGCTATGTAATCGGGATGAAGATTATGCATTAATCAACTGTTCCAAGCTAGTTATTAGACTCTTTAAATAATGATTGTGAAGAACGCACGCGAAGGAAAGGCGCGCGAGCTCGGCAGGCAAGCAGCAAGCGCTCCAGGAGAGACGGCAGCAGGGCCTTTCAGGACGAGGAGGGGGAAGATCCCGCCTGCCCCCTTTGCAAGCAGACGAGGATGTCACGTTGCCCCCGTGCTGCTGCGATACCGTCACAAACACATTATTGGCGCCTGTCGGCCTTCTCGCGGCTCGGCCCTAAATTCAAAGGGTCACAAGGAAAATGCTCACGTGAGTCCAGGGGCCCAGAGCCCATGTCGAGCCGTGAGCAACCCCTCTCCTGTCGCCGGCTGTCGTTGGTGCAGAGGACAGCCGTCCTTTCTGGCTGCAGAGACGCGTGGACAGGAGCCCCCGAGTGCGTCGCCCTGCTCTGCCGGGCGGCTGCTCGGGCCGATCGGATGGGAGGTGCCGTCATGGTTGGACTTCCCACGTGGCCTGTGCTGCCCTCACATAACCGAGGCTGCAAGCCACGGGCCAACGCGGCAGCTCTTTGCTTCGGTGGGACCAAGTGGCTTCCCCCAGCCCTTTACTTCCAGGGCCCCTTGCTCTCTGTCCTGGCCGCCCAGGCAGTGGCACTCGCTGAGGCCGTCCCTGGAGCACGGTCCAGTTGTCACAGAAAAGCAAGGTGTAATCTTCACAGGACGGCTCCGTCAGGACGGGGATGTGCCCGTGGGCCGGGGGCCGTGCAGTCATGCCACGCGCAGGGGGCCTGGTCTCCCCAGGATGAGGAGGCGTGGAGGAAAGCGAGGAAACCCGTGGGTTTGATCCACATGCGTTGGTATCAGCGAGGAGACGCGCTGCTGAGTCCAAGGGTCTTTGCGGCCAACACGTCCCTGCTGCAAACCGCCCGTGCAGAGGGGAGGGCAGCCTGCGGAGGTCAGGAGCGGGGCTGCAGGAAGCCCGGCAAACAGAGGGGCTTTAGATGCATGGGTACAAGCACTTCTTTATTGCTCCTCATTGCATACATGGCTAATTAAGAATCAGCTTCCCCTGCTGCCCTCTCCTTGACCGCTTGCTTGGCCTAGCTCAGTGCTGCGTCGCCGGCTAGAGCCCGGGCTGACGATCCACCGCACGCCCACCGTGCAAGGTGCTGCAGGCTGAGCCCGCGTCCCCACGTGTGCCCGGGGCCCGGGCCAAGGCCGCAGGTGGGACCAGGCTGTCCTCCAGCACGAACCGTCTTCGTAGCTGGAGGTTTCTCAGCCACGGGGGATTTTTAATGCAATGCTCGAATTAGAGACAGCCCTTTTCAGGCTGCCCGTGATGCTCCCTGTGCCTGAAGAAGGGTGTTTGTACCCGAAAGCTTGCAAAGAACAATTTGTCCAATGGTTTAGTTGGTCTGATAAATGATACCACCTCCACCGACAGGCCCTTGTCTGCCTCTCTGCCCGGGAACCCAGAGACCATCTGTTACCAACCGCACTTGCTAATCTCAAGCATCCCTTAATTATCTTGGCTGGCTTCTCAATCACCTCGCACCGGGTCTGCATGGCTTCCCACGGCTCTGGAAGGGCTAGAGACTGTTTTCTGTGTCTCGGAGAAGAGGAGTCATCGCTACCTAATTTACAGCCTGGCTCGTGTCAGTGAGCGGGGGTGTCAGCGTGGAGCCTCACGGACACAGAGCCGAGCCGTACCCTGACCCGAGGCTGCTGCCTTTGGGGACCTACGATGGCATTAGCGGCTTCGAGCCCCGGAGAGCATGCCTTCAAGCTGCGCGTTGTGGAGCAGCCCAGCTGGTAGGTGTTGGTGGGCTCAGACGTTTCTGCTTGTCCGAGCTATGAACTTGCAGAGCAAAAGACGAGGAGAGAGAAAAGATGGGACGGGGAGTGCTAAAAATAGGGAAGGACCAGGAGGGAAGCGAGGAGAAGCAGAGAGCAGCTGCAGCTTGCACTCGGGAGCCCTTCCCTCGCCACGTCTCTGCATTATTTACACGGCGTGACGACTGCGCCGGGCGAGGGGAGCGGGCTGCCTGCACCACGGCCGACTGGCGAGATGTCACGGCACGCCAGGCAGCGGCACCGGGGGAAGCCATCGCCTACCATCGTACGTGGGCAGGAAAGGCTCCACACCCCCAAGGGTTCACGCCCGGCTGGCCTTCCTCCCCTCCCGGAGCACTTCTCGGGGTCTCTCGACCTGCCCCCCACATCGCCAGAACCAGAAATCTTGACATCTGATTTTATTTTGCAAGCGGATCATGCAAAAAATAAAAAGATCAGATTGGGTCAGTTGGCGCTCCTTCCGGTTTGTTCATTTGGGGTCTCGCTTTGCCCGTGGCCGTGCCTGAACCGCGCACACGCCAACTGCAAGGTCACAAGCGAGCATCACCAAACGGGCTGCTCTCGGACACGAGCACACGCGGACGCGGCGAAGTGCGGACCAGGCAGCTCTGGCTCGTTCGCCAGCTTCTCAGTGAGACCTGCGCGAAGGACCGCGCCGGAGCGATGGGAAGAGCCATTGCCCATGCACGATTTGGGAGGAGACAGCTCGTTTGACAAGCACGTGAGAAGATGACTTTGCTTCTGACCTTGAATTTCTGCTCAGGTTTTAGCGCCAGCTAAGTAAATCAGTTCAAAGTTCAAAGCAAAATAAGCAAACCAATAAAAGAATCCCTTCGAATGTCAAAACCGCACTCTTTGGCAGTTTCTTTTCTTTCCCCCCAATTATTGTTAACCCCCAAACCAAGCCTTTCCTGCAAAAGGTTTCAGTTTGGATGAAACAGGATTTTCTGATTGGAAAAAAAGTTTCCTCAGAAAGCTCGTGACCGCGGCTCCTGGCTGCGCCCTGTAGTCTTCTCGCACCGGCTCGTTAGTAGTAAATGCCACTTGCGTTCGCGGGAACGTCATGGCGGCGTTCGTCTCGGGCGCAGGGAGCGTTTGTGAAAACCAAAGAAATGCCGCTTAAGTTTTCCTTTTATCTGCGTTTTCAAAAGCAAGCTTTGTTCCTGAACACTGGAAAAACACCGCCGTGCTGGTGCTGGGCAGTCTCCTTTCGGTGTGCAGTGAGTCTCTTGCAGCATTTGCTTCGGGCAGAATGTCTTTTCCCGATGGGGGAGGGAATACGGCCCCGGCGGGGGGCTGCAGCCCTGGTGTAGCTGCGACAGGCCTAGCTTTGCGCGGGGCTGTGGAGGATGGGTGGCTGGGACCCTCATCTTTTGGCCGACTTCTTTCTGCGCTGTCTTGCAGGGGGGATCTTCGAGTATGTGGACGGCCCCAACGCCCAGGTGATGAACGCCGAGGAGCAAGCCTTCAGGTTTTCTGCCAACATCATTAATAGAAATAGGACTCTGCTGCCCAACACAACGCTAACGTATGACATTCAGAGGATACACTTCCACGACAGTTTTGAAGCCACTAAGAAAGGTAAGCAGGCTCTTTATCGGTTATGTGGCCAACCCTCGGGTGAAGATTCGCGCTGTTTGGCTTGAGCAGAGGTGGCATTTGCTCACGTCGCCAGGAATGGAGAGGTTATTAATGGACTGCTTCATTTATTTGAGAATATACTCATTTCCTGCCCGTTTCCATCTTCCTCCATGGCAGCCCTAAGGTGGTCAGGCTCAGCATACCTGCAAGGGACTGGTAAAAGCCTGTGGCAATAAAATAGCTCAATGAATTTTGCATTTCATCTCCCGTGAAGAGAAGGTGCAGTGCAGAACATGGTGTGCATGCCGTCTGGAGCACACCTTTGGGACAGACCGCTCGCTGTTCAGTGAAGGACATCGTGTCTACGGGGTGGGTGGGCAGACAGGAGGGGTATAGAGGTCAGCCCTATGCATTGCTAGCATGGGGAGATGCTGGGCAGACCACTCAGAGTCGCCCACGCGGAGGGATGCTCTTGCACCCTGGCCTGGCCACGGTCAGAAAGGAGGGACAGCCGCAGGGCCCTGCAGCTGCTCCGCCCGGGGCGCGCTTCTCCTGTGTAAACTGCGCGATGGTCTCGTTCCTAAAACAAACAGAGCAAGGCGCACACATTGAACCGCGTTACGTTCTTCTTACAAATGTTCAATCTAGATGACGTTGGCACCGCAGGAGACTCCGAGCATAGGAGAAGCATGAATAATCGGAGCTCTCTCTCCTCGGGGTCAGGAGCGATTCCCAATGCCTCGCTCTGAATGACAAGCCCGGGGCGCTGAGCGTCCTTCGTGTGCGCGGGGGGGATTGCCTGGGTCTCCAGCTGAGCTGCTCCAAGTCCCGAGAGGTCACCTCAGGTCCAGGAGACCAAGCCACTGCCAGGGGAATGCTCTGCCCTGCACCTCCTGGCCCTAATTTCAGGCTTGAGTCACTTGACCATTTCCCTGCCGGGCTAGGCGAGCTCTCTCCAGCTCTCACTGAAGTCTGCAGCTCCTCGTAGCAGTGACACTAATGGGATGTGATGAGTAAATAAGGTGGTTTTAACCCGGGCTCTCCTGCTTCATTAATGTGCTATCACCTCGCTCGTTTGCATTGCTAGCTCGAGGCTACCCAGCTTGCCCAAGAAATAGAGTACACACACACACACACACACACACACACACACACTAAAAGAAGAGATAAAACATGGCGATGAAACAGCATTTGAGCTACTGGTTTGTCCAGAAGTTAAAGTGTGTTTGCCTGTTACCATGTATGTAGGCTCTTCTTTCTTGCCAAGGTTGCTGTTCTTCTGGTTTGCACTTTTTAAAAGCGCCTGGGTGCGGTGCAGCAAAGCTGGGTCCCCGTGAGCTTGTGGCTCAGATAAGCGTGCAAGAGTTTGTTTGTGCACCACAACCTCCAAAGACATGGTCCAAAAAGGCTCGAGCCTCTTGAGAGAGTTTTCCCCCTTTTTCTCTTTTCTTGTTCTCTATTTTTGGTGGGTTTTTGTGGCGTCAATCATTGGCACCATTTCAGGTTGTGCTCACCTCCTTAGAGACCCTGGCCTTCCGGGGGTATTTTGGCCCTAGGAGAACACTTATCCAGACATTTTGAGAGCCTCAGGAAGGTGTGTCTCCAAGTCTGACCTAGGGCTGGGCACGGAGGTCCAGGCACTGCTCTTTCCTTCCACAAAATGTTCACACTTGGAGAAAAGGCAGCCGGTCCTTCTGTGCCCAGCAGGAGTTGTCCCCATTGCTGGATAACCTCCTGTCCCAGCTTCCCGCGGTGAGGGACTGCAGGGTGAAGGAGGATGAGGGTTATAAAGAAAGTGCAATGTTTTATGAGAACGATGTGTATGTTTTGTGTCTGCATCCAGCTGTCTGAGCTGGCGGGTTGGAGGGGCACCGACACGGACAGGTGCTAACGTGTAGCAAAAGAGCTTGCCAGGCATTGGGGCCGTTCGGGTTTTTTGGTCTTCCTTATCTTGGACATTTCCCTAAGGCTCCCTTGACCCCTCACCATGCCAGTGTGGTGGGTCTCATGCGGTGGTGAACATTTGGCAGGAGGGCACTGAGGGGAGCGGCAGAATACCAGCACGTGTGCACGCGCACATGTGTATGTGTCCACCAGCTCCATGGCAGGAAGCTTTTTTGTTTCCTGCGCTACCCATCACATCCAGCTTTCAAGACAGGTACCGGGAGCCTCTGAGGCTGCATTACACCCCACGTCTGCAATACAGATGGACTTTAATTAAGTACATCGGGATCCCTGTTCTGCTCTGATTGTCCAAGATAAAGTATCTGCTGACTTCTGAGAGCATTTTATCTGAGCTGGTAGAAGAGCAGGCCCCGTAATGACCGCTCGTTAAGTGCTGCCAGCTCAGCACGCCAGGTCCCACCGCTCTCAGCTGCTGCGGGCAGCACCGAGGAGCTTGCTGCTGCAACCCGGGTACAGAGATGCATCTTTATCTTGAGCCTCTGGCTTTCTCTGGTGCAGGATGTGTGGCGATCACATACGCTCTCGTTCCGTACGCAGCGGGTGAGAAACTCTGGCCTCCGTGAAATCAGTGACCCAAATCCCTTCCGGTTTCATGGGACCCTGGTTTCATCCACTAGTCCAATGAGGGCCAATGTCTTTGGCGAGCAGGCCACAAATCACCCTCACACCCTCTCCGCTCCTTTTCCTCTGCTTGATTTTCTGCCCGATTCGCCCTGTCTGAGCTGCTGCTCTGCTTTCTGCTCCCTGGCCCGTCTGCAGCTGCGCTGCCTGCCCCTCTGTGCGTGCCCGGGTTGGTCACCCCTGCCCTGCACCACTCACTTGTGAGCAGAGGGAAGCATCCAGCCCGTTCAAGTCAGGAGAGGAGAGAACGAACGCCCGGGACCGTGCTGAGAAGTGCTCAGCTCCTCTAGCGACGGACCCTGAATGGAGCAAGCGCTAAGTGGAGCCTCCTTGAAGCTGATGATTATGCAAAAGGCTCTTGTTACCTTGATTTGCTGAAGGAAGGGCTGGATCCTCCAGTCGGTCAAGTGGTCATCCTCCCTGCGAGGGGGAAGAGTCAATGGAGGGCCCTTGTTCGCAGGCGTAAAGGCTCAAGGACCCTGCTTGCAAGCAATAGCAACTTTTCCAGTGCCTTGCTCTCAACCATTATCTTTATTGAGCTCGATGCCCTTATAAATGCTTTTTATTTTCTAAGGAAGCCGCTGCACGCGCACGAGCAAAGAGCACTTTTCAGAGCAAGGTGAATCGGCTTTTGATTTCGCGTAACGAAGCCGTCTAGAGCTTGCTGCTAGCCGCTTCTGCTAAAAATCCAGGTTTTCGGCTGAAACCCAGTGTTCAAACCCACCCTAAGACTCTCACCGGCTGCGCCCCTCGGTTTTCGGAGCATGTCGCACCCAGTGCCATCATTTTTTATGGCAGGAGAGGTGTTGGGGGGTCGCTTCCCAGATGCCTGCGGCGGTTGTGCCGTGGTTGTGCTGGTTGGGGATGGTCCTGCTTGGAGCAGGGTGTTGGACTGGACGACCCCTTCCGAGCCTCACGTGTTCTGCTTGCATGCACTCCTGGAGGGAGGGCTGCCCCGGGGTGGATGGGTGTGGGAGGGATGTTGTCCGGTGTATTGACAGCTTTGATCCCTTTCTATTCCAGCCTGTGACCAGCTCGCTCTTGGGGTGGTAGCAATATTTGGGCCTTCTCAAGGCTCCTGTACCAATGCCGTTCAGTCCATTTGCAATGCACTGGAAGTCCCCCACATACAACTCCGGTGGAAGCATCACCCGTTGGATAACAAGGACACTTTCTATGTCAACCTTTACCCTGACTATGCTTCTCTGAGCCATGCCATTCTGGACCTCGTACAGTATTTGAAATGGAGGTCAGCTACCGTTGTGTATGATGACAGTACAGGTAGGTGAAGGAAGAGCTGCTGCAGCTTCTCTATCGTGGGTTCCTTGTAGGGACTGTCCTAGCGCACCCCTCGCGGAGAAAACCCACGCCATGTCCTGCAGTTGGTCCGCAAAGAAAGGTAGGAAGTCCTCGTGCGCTCACAGCCGGACCAGACAGGGTCCTTGGGTTGCTGCTGAAGCTTTGCATTCACGACCTGTTGGGCGCTGACGGCCCCGGGCACGGCCACCAGCGACCAGGGCCGGGCGGCAGGCCGACCTCTCTGGCGCTCTCGCTGCAGTCATTGCTGCCGTGTCCACGTGCAAAAGGACTCTTGCGTGGAATATGAAAGCTCGTCCCAGACAGCTCCTTTGTTGGGACAGACTATGTTATAAAATGCTAATGAGGGGGACGGGGGGTGGGGGGCAGGCACGGCCGTGCAGGGCTTCCCTTGGAAGTGGGGTGCCCGGTGCCCCCTCGTCCCCAGTAGGATGAAGGCCCGGGGCGGCGGAGGGGAGACGAGCGTGCCCTTCCCTGCATAACGCTGCGGTTTCTCTCTCTGTGCCCCGCCGCGCCCTAAGGGCTCATCCGGCTGCAGGAGCTCATCATGGCCCCGTCGCGGTACAACATCCGGCTCAAGATCCGCCAGCTGCCCCTGGACACGGAGGACGCGCGGCCGCTGCTCAAGGAGATGAAGCGGGGCAGGGAGTTTCGCATCATCTTCGACTGCAGCCACCTCATGGCCGCGCAGATCCTCAAGCAGGTGAGCGAGGCAGCGCCCGCCGGCGGCGTCCCAACTCGAAGCAGGTTTCAACAACGCAGCGGTGGGGCGAGGAGGGGCCGGTCCCTGCTTGGGCCCTGAACGCCTCGCAGAATTAACCCAATTTCCATCTAATTTGGTCTTTCGGTGGAAAATTGGATTTTGACCCTATGAAATATTTCCTGGAAAGTGTCTGGTTTCTGCAAAGGATCCAAAAACCAAATGACACTGGAAAAACTCCCCAAATCACTACAAGTAAATAATAATAAATGCCCACAGAAAATGAGTCTCCCACGGAGGGAAATGGCTGCGGCTGCCCCGCTTCGGTTTGCGCGCCGTGATCCCCAGATGCGCGGTCCGCGAGGACTTTATTTCCCCGCTGCGCAGAGGTCTGCCCTTGCCCAGGTCTCCCGCTCTTCCCGTAGTCGTGTCCCCGCGCTTGCTTCGTGCCACTTCTTAAATTGCCTTGCCCCAGAGTCTGAACACGCTCATCCTGGCGCACGACGTGAGCTGCTATACCTCTGGCTAGGTTTCTTTTGAGCAGGCATGCGTGCACGCGCACACACGTGTATTGACACGTCTGGTCAAAATGGAAATGCCAAGAAGAATATCACATTCCTGGGTCCTCGCATCACTGTGTTGTGCTGTTCTCTGCATTTGAGCCTAGATGTCAGTGATTTTCCAGTGACCTGCCTTCCCCCCCAGCAACTCCTTAATTCCTCCGTCTCACATGCCAGAAGGCTTGGATGCCCCCCCTGCTCTTCCTCTTATGTACGTGCCATTATGGTATGGGGTTGCCAGGAGGCCAAGCAAAATGTTTGCATGAGGGAAGTTAAAAAATAGCAAACATCAGTGTCATTTATAGCAGCCCAGTGGGACACCAGGCCCTGATTAAATGAACCCTCAAAGGACCGAGCAGCTCAGCAAACAGGCGGCGACTGTCCCGTGCAACCCCCGTGCCGCTGCAAAATGAAGGGAAATGCCCTGAGCGTGCGGAGAGCCCAGGACGCATTGCCATCTCCTGCCTATTACTTTAACATGCTGGCTGCATTTGGTGCTGTTCACTTATTATGCAGTTTATTATAGTTTATTGTGCCATCTGCTCCACTTCTCATCGTGCAGGAAGAGGAGGGGCAGGGAGTGGGGGTGGGAGAGAAGGAAGCTTCCCTGCGTCTCCCGCGGGTTTTTTCCAGGACAACAACAGAGATTTCTGCTTGGCAGCGGTGCATGGATTACGTCTGCCTGCGGACCCCACACCGAAGTGCGCCAGGGTGTTGTAAGCCCCGTTCACACCTTAAAGTTGTGTCTGCGCGTATTTGCTCAGCCAGCCGTGCAATGCCGGCTAAGCCGCCTGTTGTGCACAGAGCTGTCCCACGGCCGTGCTCACACGTGCGGGGACAGACCAGTCTGTCCTAGTCCTCTCTCGTCCTCGCTGCTGGGCAGTGAGAAATGCTGACCTGGAGCAGCCAGCCGTGCCTGGGAAAAGGAGCCTCTCTCCTCTCCATGAAGCAGGTGATGGAGGAGCTAACTGTCACTCGCCATTGGGGTCTTCCACCTTTCCCCCTGCAGCATTGCATTCCTGTGTGCTGTGAAAAGCCTCGAGTCCTGGCAAAGAAAGGAAGGACTGCAGAAGGTGCTTGCGAGAGAGAGACGTTTTGGAGCGGGATCCTTTCTCCTTAGCCGTGCACAACATCTCTGCATCGTTTCCTTCTGCAGCCGTGTAGCAAACACTGGCAATTAAACACATGCAGATTTGACCTCTACCGAGTCCTCTGAGTTCTCCCTCTGCTCTGACTGGTCCAATGCACTGCAGAGAAGGGCAGGAGTCCTACAGGCTATGCCCTAAAAATTAAGGAAAATAAAGTAAGTAAAATACACATTTGGGCCCAAATCCCCCAAAGCAGTTGTTGATCCAGGTGTTTGCGTTGCCTTAAAGCGGTCCAAGTTTTAGGAGCTGAGCGTCTGCCTGGGCACCCATGAACACCAGTCATGCCTCAAATCCTCCGGATCTACTTAACATGTAATAAATAATCCCCTTAAGTCATTAGCTTGCAGGCAGCTCATAGTTACCTGGAGCGGCACTTGGGACCCCAAGAGCTTTCTCAGTACGGGGATGCAGAGGAACTTGTCCCACGGCTCGCCAGCCAGCGTGGGCTCCTTGGGATGACACGGGGGTTAAAACATTCACGTTTTTGGCCTCTGGGACCAGCAGACTCTTTGGCAATGTCTATCGGGAAGCCAGGCTTTCTTAGCAGGCCTCGCACAGTCCCCAGGTATCTTTGATGTCCATGTCTGCATCACTGGTCGATGAACCCATTTGCTCCCTGGCTTCTCTCTTGCCCGTCTCGGCGGGTGGCTGTGCGTAGGCCTGTTAATGTAAGCACAGCCCCCACGTCCCCTTCTCCTGGGGTGTCTCTGTGGCTTCCCCTGCGGCATCACCCCACGCACTCCCCTTTTCCCCCTTTGCAAAGGCAGGGGTTTATTCTGCCCTGGGAGGCTGCTGCATGCACCAGACAGGAGGACTGGGTCTCATCTCTGGGGTTGCCCAGGCTCGAGACCTGCTTGGCTTTGCATTCGTATCCAGGTCACAGAGAGGCAGTGGGAAAACGTCCCACTTTGCAGCCTGGTGCTTGGGCTCTGCTCCATTTTTCCAGCTCTCCAGACCTCCCGCTTGCTTTCAAACTGTCTCTTTTCCTCGGAGCTAAACTCTGCCCTAGTAATTTTAGCAGAGCTGCGCAGAGAGCAGAGGGAAGCAAAGCCTCCCCCGTTGCACCCCAGGTGAGCTGAAGCCCCGTGGCTGTCAGGGGCGGTTTTAAAGGGCTCCCCAATCCTCCGTGCCGTGAGCAGAGCCCCCGGCAGTCTTTCCCGTGGCCTGTGCTGTGCTTCCCCCTCCGCCGAGTCTGCGGTGAAGCGTGTGTAACCCTGGGCAGGACGCAGAGCCAGCCCGTGTCCTGCTCGACGGAGATGCACGCCACTCATCCTCCCTCTCCCTGATGAGCCCCCACGGAGGAGCTGCGGCAGGAGATGCTGAAAGCCGGGGTCAGTTCGCCGGTCACCGCCTCGCCGCCTCATCTGGGAAGATGCCGATCTGCGGCTGCCCCCAGCTCCGAGGAGCCAGGCAGCTGCGAGACGGTCGCAGCCCATGGAGCTGGCTTGGGTTTCAGGCTCGCTGCACGAACGGACTCGCCCTTCGCCCCAGCCCTGCTGACATCCAGCCTGGGCTGCTTGGAAGCGCTTCACACCGGGGCGGGTGCCAGCCCAGCCTGGTGCCAGCCCTGAGCAACTACTCAATTTATATTCATTGATTTGACTCTATTGATGACACAAGAATGACTCTCTCTTTTTTTTCCCCCCCTTTTCTTTTCTTTTCTTTTTTCAAACCCTGGACTCTAAACGGAAACTTTCCTGGGGTCAGTGCGGGAGCTGAGTGCTAATTATGCTCTTCTGTTTATTGTGCTCAGGAAGAATGGGCAGATAGTCATTTTCTTTCTTAATTAGCTGCATGCCTGTGGTCGGTACAAAAGAGCCACACAAGCAGCGGGGGAGGAAGTTGCAGATGAATGCTATGCGCCAATTTAAGAGAGGGGAGGAACAAGCTTTTCCCTTCCCCTTGCAAGGTCGGCACGCAGCGTAACGACTAGGGGAGCAGTCCGTTTCGTGCCCCTGCCTCGGTGGCTACGAGGCTGCCCCTCACCCGGCGTGGGAGCGCAGCAAACACAGACGCTGTCTTCCCCTCGGCCCCAGCCGGGCCAGAGCCAGAAGCTCAGACAGAGCCGGGGTTTTGCTCGGCAGCGTCTGCGCGCGGATGCAGATGCATGCTCGCAGTCATACGTCCTTTTTCCCACACCTGCAACCTCTGCTGAGGTCGGTGGGTGCGGGGTGCTCCCCGCACCGGTGCAAACTAAGCCACGAGACACAGCGCCGTGCACAGGCTCGTGTCTGAACACGAAGCACCTGCCGAGGTGCTTTGCTGAATTAGCGGAGCCCCCAAAGGCTTTGTGCCCTGCCCCAGCTGCCCCCGTGCCTACCAGCCAGCCTCGAGCTGCTTTTTGCTAGACGCTCGTGCTCTGCTTCTCACTAACCAGGTTCTCCCCTGCTTTTCTTAAGGCCATGGCCATGGGGATGATGACGGAGTACTACCACTTCATCTTCACGACGCTGGTAACGTATCGCAGCTCTGCCTTCCCTCCTGCCTTTGCGCCGCTCCCCGGATGAGGTGTGGGGGCTGCAGGCGGCCGGAGAGCAATCCCGGGGGTGGGGGCGCCCGGTCTGCGCAGCGGGGACCACGGCGCCGTGCTGAGCCCCGGCCCGAGCGCAGGGGCCCTTCTTCTCTTGCAGCGGTTACTTGTTGAAGTACCGCCTGAATGCCCGTGCTAAAAGCCAGGCTCTCTCGGTCTCTAAATGCCACTGATTTTACACCACGTCTACCACCCTTCGTGTCTGAAGGCACTCCAGATTTACACCAGGGGAGGGGAGAGGAGAGACAAATCTGGCCCCGGCAGTTCTTCAGCCCTTTACCCTCTGGCTGAGCGCGCACGAGCACCGCGGGGCCCGGGGCCATGGGAGCAAGGCGTGCGGGTGCTGCGGTGCAGGCGTAACTGGGTGCCCAGCTGCTCCGAAAGCCCAAGGCAAGCCCTGCCCCGGGGGGGGGAGCAAGGGAGGGGGCAGATATTTTAATGCTACAGGTTTATTTGACACAAGAAGAACTCAGGTTGAAATTAGCCCTAGTCTCATTAAATACAGGCTAGTTCCCCTCTGACTCCAGGAGGTATTTCTCTCGGCGTGCCGTTTCTGTTTGCATTGAGGAGGCTGCCGTCCGGGAGTCTGCTGAATTGCGTGTGATGTTAAAAAACTCATTTATCTTTTTGCCCTTTAGGAACGAAACATAATAAACTAACCCTTAAAAATTGCAAAACTTATTTTTCAAATGCAAAAGACATTTTAATTACTCCTGCTGCCATTATCTATTCCAAGCAGCTTTAAGCCATTCCCAGATAACCTCCTATTAATCAGCCCCAGCTGAGCCTATAGAACATTTCATGGGTAGGTAAAGCCTGGAGGTGAAAAGAAAAAAAAAATGGAAAAAAAATTATAATAAATTAATAGATAAGCAATCACAATTAATGCCACTTTCCTGAAATAACAGTTACATCACGGGAAAGAGATTTTAATCTGTCACTCCTCGAGGCAATGTTTTCCTAGCTTGCAATGCATGTGCTCCAGCTTCTTCCCTACTAGACCCATGGGGTGCTAATGAATTAGTCTATTATGCTGTACTGAATGTTTCTAAAAGGTCCCTCGTCAATACTGAGTACAGTGCATCAACATTTGGCATAGGATGCTTCAACATTTTGCCAGACAGCCAGGCTGAGCACAGTTCGCCGAGTTCAACACGAACGGCCTTGTCTCGAGCTCCCTCCCAAGAGCGGTGGAGGTGGCAAAGGCCGCGGCGCCGGCGCTCGGTGTCACAAGTGCACGGGCCCGGACCCTCTCCAGCTCTGAGCAGCCCCAGCGCCCGCTGGGGTCGCTGGGACTCGGGGCCGTCAGGGGGTTTGGGGCAGCGGGTAGGATCTAGCCCCGACTCACTCGTGCAGCTGCCCAGGGAGAGACGAGCACAGAGGCAACGCGGTGCTCACAGTCCCTCTGTCTGTGCACGCAGCGCGGTCCGCGGGAGTGCCGCGGGCTCGGGCATCACCATCAAACAAGCGATGGTCTAAGGCCGGTGCGGAGGAGATGAAGCAAAGGGGGAAGGAGCAGACGGGTGTCACGGTGCTAACGCTGCCGGCGCCCTGTCTCGGCCACTTCTGAAGACATCCCAGTACTGAATCTGCAGAGTTGCTTGGAGGCGGATGAGCTAGATCCCCCAAAGGCATTTCCCTGGACGCAGGGAGGCCGGCAGGGCGACGGTGCCACCGTCTCTGGAACGTGCTTGATGACGGAAAAAGCATCCCGGGCATGATTTGCAAACCTGGGGGCTTCACAGTGAGTGCCTGGGGCTGGATTTTCAGACATTTAAATAAAAATCCAACCTAGTTTCCTTGTTTAGGCACATAAGTGAACATAGGTGCTCGGGACCAGCTGCAAACAAGCGTGTCATCTGTAGGAAGCAGCACGTCAGCGAGCCAGAGCACGCTGAGTCCGTCAGTGGCCTTGCCTGAAATCGGGGCTGAGGGGCCAGACTGCAGAGCATCGGCATCTCGTGTGGCTGCGCTGATGCACAGACAGGGACCCCGCTGGCAGCGCCATCCCCAGAGCGACTCGCTCTACGGGAGCCCGTGCAGGGAGGGGTAAGTCGGTAGGGGAGTTGCCAGTGCAGAAGTCTGCAGGGTCGAGACCAGCCCAAAACAAGAGCGCCCTGTCCTGCGTGCTTGCCAAGCACCTGGCTCCAGGGATCCCTGCTCTCGGCCGGGAGCGGCTCTGAAGCAGCAGCGAAGCTGGGAAACCCCGGGGAGCTGGGACGCGGGGAAGAGGCAACTCGGCACGTCTGAGAGGGGAAGCTCCAGAAAAAGAGTGAGATGACTTTGCCGCACCGAGATGCCTGCCAGAAGGAAATGCAGATGAGCTGGAAAATGGGACCAGATGCTCCAGCGTGCGGATCAAGGACAGGCAGGAAAAGAGGGGCCAGAAGGAGCTTGTGTGTCATGTCCCCTCTGCCATTTCTGCAGATCCACTTGGCTTCCTAATTGCCCTTTATTCCAGGAGGAGAGGAGTCGAACTGCAGCTGAGAGGTAAAAGGGGGCAGAGGGGAAGGTCCCCGGAAAGGCTCCCATCAGTGCACTGAGCTGGATCGTGCTGCATCGCTTAGAAAGATGACATCCCCGCCTGATTTCCAGCCTGCCCTTTTATCTGGGGCTCTGGTTTGGTACCTGCCATTTTGCAAGGGAAAATAATTGATCCTTCAGGGCTTGACATTGATTAACGACTCCATCATCTACTGTGCGGGAAGGCATGGCATCCATCAGCTGGGCATTTTGTGGATGCCAAACAGGGGGCCACCATTTAAAAAAAAAATCTCTAAAAGCTTATGAAAAGAAAATAGCTGCAGCAATTCCTCACTCTCCCACTGAGCATGCAGGCTCGGCTGTCCAGGCTGCACTGATTTTAATGGCACTTTGATTCGGGCATTGCTATTTGGATGTAGTGCCTTGTCGCTGCTCCAGACAGGACCACGTCCACGAGAGGATGAGGCTGCCAGCAGGGTCCTTCCATCAGTCTGGGGATGCACCGAGATCACAGCTGCATTGTCAGGGGAGATCTCTGTGCAGCCTCTGAGAGGCTTAAAGACTTGACAATCCTAGATCCATCAGTGGAAAATCCCGGTAACCTCTGCAGCACCCTCCCTTCCCCCCTCCAAAAAAGAAAGGAGGCGTGCAAGAGAGCCACAAGCATCTTTCTAATGTCAACGCACCCTTGGGCAGAGCTTCCATGCCCTGCAGAGCTGTGCCCAGAGCTCACACACCCCAGAGCTGCCATGGACCAGCTCACGAAACCCTTGCAAAGTGCTCCCTGGGGTACTAGCTTTGCACAAAGACTGCAAACCAGGTCTGTGTCTTTGCAGCATGCTGCCAAGAAGGGACCCGGTTCCAGTGCAGCAGTGCAATGGCATCATTGCAGGGTCTAGACATATGCCAGGGTCCCACGGGGCCAGGCGCTGTCGGCACACAGCACAGGACGATAGCTCCCCGCCCCCCAGAGCTTGCTGGACACAACGGGGATGAGCTAGAGGCAATGGGCAGAGCTGAAGCTGACCACTCTTGGAGCAGGGAGCTATCGTCCCGTGCTGTGTGCGGACAGCGCCTGGCCCCGTGGGCCCTGCGTCCTGCTGTCCTCTCCAAGCACAGCCCCGCAGGCTTCTCAGGGACTTGCTCAGTGTCTTGTTTGAACCAGAAACCTCCTCCCCGCCTTCATCAGGGCTTCTCATGGGCCCGTGCCCCGGAGTCAGGATCACGTTATGACCGTGGCAGTGCAAGCGTGGGGACCCCGAGGCTGCGAGAGAATGATATGTCCCCTGCCTGAAAGCCCCCACCTCCCATCATGATATCTGCACAATTAGCCGCGCGTTTCATCAGCGGTTTTACTTAATCCTTCTCCCAAGCTCAAGGCTCAGTTGAGGGGCAGATATCCCCCACTCCTTGCAGACGTGCAGCAGTGCTTCACATGGGGCGATGAGACGCAGCCCTTCCCGGAGAGCGCGTGTCCCTTGCCTGGCACCAGTTGCTTGGCTGAACGGCTCAATCGCCGGCTGTGGCAAGCACAGGCTCCGGGTACGGGCTGGTAGAAAGGGGAGGGAGCCTGCCACGGTGGAGCTCACCTGCAGCAGCTTGCTCGTGCACTCGCCCTCTTGAGGGGCACCTGGGAGCCAAAGCTCAGGTTACTTTTACCCGGAGTGAAACAAAAGGCGAATCCCCACAGTGCGTCCCACGTGCCGTGCCGTGTGAGCCTGCAGGGGAGCAAGGCAGCCTGGCCCTGGAGTCCCACACTTCCCGGGGCCTGAGTTTTGTTCCCAATGCCTGCGTGCCGAGTCTGGCCAAGTCATTTGACCTCCGTGTGCCTCAGCAGAGCAGGGACAGCCGTCCTCCCGTGCTGCCCGCGCCTTGTAGACCTTGCTCTTTACGTGGCAAAGGTGTCGGGAAAGGGGCTCTCATCCCACGCTGCATCCAGCACGGTGCAGCCCTGGCTCCCCTGAGCTCTCTGGATGCTAGCAGGATGCAACTAATCGATGGGGATGAGAGAGGAGCGATGCCCGGGCACCTGGATTCCCCCACCTGACACTGGCCACTGTGTGCCACCGAGGAAACGAGGCAAAGAAAAGAGAGGCACAAAATGTTTAACCTGGTTTCTCTTTTTTAAGGATCTTTATGCATTAGACCTAGAACCATACCGCTACTCCGGAGTGAACCTGACCGGCTTCCGCATCCTCAATGTGGAGAACCCCTACGTGTCCTCCATCATTGAGAAGTGGTCCATGGAGCGCCTGCAGTCAGTGCCCAAGGCCGAGACGGGACTGCTGGACGGGGTGATGATGGTACGAGGGTCACTTTAAAACCCCGAGGGTTTGCTGCTTGTGCGGAAGGGGCCCTAGGTCCAGCCACCGCTCTGGGCTCTGTGTGGGCTGGGCGAGGCGGGGGTCGGTCTAGGCTTTGGCTAAATAATGGGCATTTGTTTCTTGCTGGCTGTGTTTTAGCTTTTGAAACGCAACCAAGGTGCATGGTGGGTTGCTGTGCTCGCTCCGCTCAGCCCCTCTTGCCCTCGTGTAGCAGCAGGTGCAGCGCGCGCACTGGGTCCCCGTCGGGAGCTGGACGCTGGCGAGCGAGACAGGCTCTTGCCGTGAGCCCCGGCAGGTGGGGTGGAGTTAGGAGAGCCACGATGCTGCCACCGAGGGCCGAGCACCTCTTGGGAAGCGGCTGGAGCTGCTCTGCCGTGCGCTTCCCAATACGCTTTCTAAGGCACCTCCTCCCAGCAGAGCGAAGAGTTTCTCTCTGCAGTGTCAAGGAGCATCCCCCCAAAGCTCAGGCAGGGCCAGGCGGCACAGCTGGGAGACAACCCGGGGAGCAAGCCCAGGTCTCCAGCCCGCCTCCCAGTACCTGGACCAGTCACACCCACCCCCTCCGTCTCTCCCCCACGTTGGGCTTCCCGATAGGTGCCAAAGCTGCAGGCAGGGGCGCAGAAGAGGTGCCCCATGCTAGCCGGCCGTGAGGGTACTTGCCCATTGCAATCTCAGCCGGCTGGTGAGAGCAGCGGGGTAACCCCTTGCACTGGGGGGCCATTCCCTGTCCTGCACCAGTTTCCAAGGACAGCCCCTCCGGCTTGTGCCGTGCAGTCAGGACTGCTCCTGCGGGCTCTGCAGGTCTATGAGAACGTGTCCCCGGGGGTCTCCAGCCCCTCCGTTGACAGCTGCTAGCAATGCTTACCCCATGTCCTCCTCACTCTTTGGTTTCATGCTTTTAGTCTCCCCTCTCACTCCGTGTCTTCTCCAAAAGCATCGCTGCAGTATATTAAAGAGCCCCCAAATCATCCCGTGGCAGCCGTGGGCTGGTGCAAATACAGGCCGATGAAGGGAGAGGCCTGAATCTGTGGCGAGGCTCTGCGGAGCGAGCCCTTTGCTCTGTGCGCACCAAGGGGAGGATTGTCAGCAGTAATAGGTGGCCTTCCTTATTGAGGAGCCCTTAATTAACGTGGGCACGCCAGCAGCGTGTGCTGATAACGAGGGCCCTGAGCTCTGTTCCTGCTCGCTCGTGGCTTTGGGCAGGTTGCTCACCCTTCCCGTTCCTCGTTCCCTCCATCCAGGATGTCAGGATGCCAGGGTTTTCCTGGGTTGTGTGTTGGAGGGGGAAGGGAAGTGGCTACCCAAGGGGGAAAAAAGCCCTTATTATTCTGTTTTTTATTTGTCTGACGTTTCCTTTGCACCAGCCAGCAGTCGTGCGTGTGTGACAGCAGAGCAGCAGGTGCATTAACCCCCCGGTGGGTGCAGACAGACAGCCGACACTCTCCCGGGCTGTGATTTAAAGAGATGGCTTTCAGTGTAGAGTACCGTGCGGGGAGCAGGCTCCTGCTCCTCCGACTTTCCCTGCGCTGTGTACAGAGGTAGCGGCAGGCTTACAGGTCCTGGGGTCAGGCTGGAGGATCGCAATGGACTCGCCTCGCTTTCGGAGGCGGGGGAGTCCGTCCTGGTGACCTTGCCCAGACTAAGACTATTCCCTGCTTCCTTTGAAGTCAGGGGTTGCAGTTGGCTTCAAAGGGATCGGGATAGGAGGTCCTTCCTGATGCCATCGTACCCAGCATTAATTAAACTGGCTGGTGTCAGTCTGGCCCTGGGGCCCCTGCAGCTTTCGGCCGTCTCTTGAGCTAGGACTGTGTTTTGCACTCACCTGTGTCCCCGTTAGCCCACGGGCAGGCCAAGTATCTCATTAATCTCATCTCCAGTGAAACTGTTACCCAGGACTCCCTCCTCGTCTGTCCCAAGGAACGGTCCCAGCCCCCTCCCGCCCGCGGCTGAGGATGCCCGGTGGGGTTGCACCCTGCAATGTCTTGCCTTGGCACGAGGGAGTCTCCGAATGGAGCCGGCAGTAGCGCCCGGTCGCTCCGGGGCAGTTATCCACCCCCATGCTCTTCCCCTTTACTTTAGACAGATGCTGCCCTGTTGTACGACGCGGTCCACATCGTCTCGGTGTGCTACCAGCGCGCCCCGCAGATGACCGTCAACTCCCTGCAGTGCCATCGACACAAGGCCTGGAGGTTCGGCGGGCGCTTCATGAATTTTATAAAAGAGGTAAAAGCGCGGCCCGCGTCCACGGCTGCTTCCCACCCTCCCCAGCACGGGGTGGCGGGAGGAAAGCGGGGACAGCAGCATTTTGGGGAGCAGATCACACCAGCGGGGTAGGGACGGCGGGGAGCAGGACGCAGGCTGCGGACTGGACCCGTGGGCAGGTGCAAACACGGCGGCACAACACACCACGCCGTTCTGGCCAGGGACCAGCGCTGCTGGTCTTGCTGGGCAAGGCACTCCTGGCTCTGGGGGAGCGGGAGCAGGGCTGCCTGGGACCTGTGCAAGGGGTCCGGTGGGCAGGGTCCTGCCTGGGAACTAGGAAACCCAGTTTCTATTCCCAGTTCACCTGCTGGTGTGGCCTGTGCCCAGCTAAAAGTGCTCGAGAGGTGTGGACGTGTGCTGTGGGCTGCACTGGACACTGCACATGCATGGGATGCACCCTCTCTGGGCTCGGGCCCGCAAAGACGGAGGCACCGGCATGAAGGAAATGATGTGGCTGGAAGCAGGGCTCCTAATGAGCACGGGGCAGCAGGCGAATGGTTTTGCTCGTGAATCTTAAGAGCCATCAAAGAGTGACGTGCGTGCAAGAGGCTCCAGGCCTGGGCCGGGCCACCGGCTTCATTGCACCAGTGCCTTCACGTGACCCACCGTGGGGTGCAGTGATCGCTGGGTGTGCACCAGCACATGATACTCGTGCCCCGAGTGCTGGCCGGGGCAGAGCCCAGGATTTAGCAAGTGGGGAACAGGGGGAGCAAAGCGAGAGCTGTGTTTTCTCTGAGCTGCCATCGTCCTCCTCTCCTGGTGTCCCGTGCACGTCGCTGCTCGCAGCTGGCTTCACCGGGGAAGCAGCGGCAAGCCCCAGGGACTGCGGCCAACCCTCTCCCGAAACAGCCCCACGGTGCAGGCAGCTGGAGTGAGACCCCCCACGGCAGCCCGGCTTCCCGGCCTCCACCCCCTCCAGGGGGGCATCCCCGTCCGAAGAAGGCTAAAGCAGGAGGACACGAATCAGGCCACATGACCGCGCTGTGATGGCAGGTGTCTGGACAGAGGCTCTCCTTGCTCCCAGCCGTGACACCAGAATTGCTCGTTTCTGTGCGTGGTTCATTCCCGATTCACGTTGCTGCAGCACCGAGAGCCCCCCCGACTCAGCCCTGCTCCCGCTCCCGCTGTGGGCTAAGCCTGTCCACGTGCACCGCGGATGGGGCATCCCAGCGGGGGCACGCAGGAAGGACGGTCCGTTCGTGGACCCGCTCGTCATTTTGTTCCCTTCTGCAGGGAGCTGCCCCCGCCGGCTACCAGGAAACCGTGTCAGTCGTTTGTTCGGTCGGCTCCTTTTGCAAATTGCTGAGCTTTGCACTCCAGCGCCCGCCCCTCGTCTCCCTTCCTGGCACCGCCGCAGCGAGCAGCGCAGTCACGGTGTCCTCCTGGCATCGAGGCATCCCAGGCCTCACCTAGACGATAGCGCCAGTGCTTGCTTCTGTGGCACGCGTGCACACGCGTGCTTGGCCTTGCTCTGGACAGGCGTTTGCAGCCCTGACATCCCCAAGGGCACGGCGTGGGTTGTTCTCCCTAGACGAAGGCAGCCTGCCGTGCATGCCACCTGCCGCCCTGGGGATGCCCACAGCTGGCGTTTAGCAGCCACTCCTCCCTCTGCACCGGAGAGCTGGGAACTGAGCCCGCCGGGGCACAGAGCAGCCAGAGGAGCCGGGGCACCAGGCCAAGGGAAGGGGCAAAGCAGAAGACGCTCCTCTGAGCTCCCTTCTCAGCGCTGCCTCCACTCTCCGTGCCTTGAATGCGAGCGTGTGCCTTCGCTAGCCGGGGGCAGCTGGAGACGGGCAACAGCGAGGGGATCGGGGCCCGTTCAGGACTCACGCGGGTTAGCTCAGAGCAAGCGGGAGCACAGCAGAGATCAACTGGCCCGGGCGTATTCTGGAGGCTGAGAAAGCGCAGAGGAAGAGGGGGGAAATAATGGTTGTTTCCTGTAAATGGTGTTTTGTCCTGAGTCATTTGACTGGCGCTGCCCGCAGCACGTCTGCCAGGGGAACGTGTCCTGAGCACAGTGCTGGGCACCAGAAGCGGATGAGGTCATTATTGGTACTCAGGTGTGCCCTGTGCGTCACGAGTCTCACCCGTGCAAGGAGGAGAGCAAGGCCGCGGGGCCTCGGTGACTTGGCCTTGCCGGTGAAAGACCCAGAGCCGACAAGGTGGTGCCGATAGCGCGCCCAGCGCGTTGCTTCTTCCCAAACAGCAGCGAGCAGCAGCGAGGCAAATGTATTTGTGCCCTAGGATCCCTGCACTCTGTTACAGCATCCGAGTTTCCACACGTGCACGGGGTCTCGGCTTCTCTAGGCTTCACTTCCCCATCTGAAAAGCAGGCGGAGAAATCGTTAGCGCTTTCTGACTTCAGAGCACTTTGCATCTGCTAGCTAAGGAGCCAGCATGATCCCACCCTGAGCCAGGTGTGGCCCGCGTGTGCGCTCCATCGGTGTCGTCTGAGGCCAGACGGGCCTCACCTGTTGGCTTTGCCGGCGTTCCCGCAGTGCTAGGAAGTTTTGCATTGTGTGAACGTGCTGGGGGCTCATCCCGAGAGAGACGGGGAACACAAAAGGTGCAAATGTAAATCATAGCAAGGACTATAATAGGATTTATGGAAATCTCTAGCCTGGGCTGCAGCAGGAGCAGTGATGGAGGTGATTATTAATTA